TGCAGCGAACTTTTGCGAAAGTAAACAACTTGTGTTTCGCGCGCTCATATGACCTTAGCAGTTGCGAGCGCCGTAAAACCCTATACTACTACTACGATTGAATATCTCAGTGAGTCTCTCAGACGATCTCCGTCTTTTTCCCGCGGAACCCTTGACGTCATCCAAGGGCGTGCCGCTCCCTTAATTATCTTGTCCCCACAGTAAAGATAAGAGTCATGTCCCTTGACATCACAATACGTACATGTGATGGAACATTTTTTCATTACGCTTTTGCGTGCCGATAGTGTAACAGTAATGTGTGTAGAGCGTAGCCGTCTGGTCTGTCTGATCTCCTAGCCTCTTCATTGTTTCATTCAGTGCTCTTGGATGTACATGGGTTTTTTTCGTATGGATATAACATAAACTACCTCAATTCTAAGGATTAAATTTGTGCTTGTTATATGTTTTAGTGTTCAGCCCAGAGTCTAGTTTTCTTTTATCTTGAATGTTTTTGTTACTAGAATCTACAGTTATTGTGAAACAGTTTTCAGCTCACGTCTCAGTTTCAGAGCAATGAACCGTGTGAGCAACATTTGAACATGGGAAGAAAGTGTAGGGGCTAGAGCTGTAGAAGTGGTGTGCCAGCCATAAGGGAGATAACAAAATAACAATAATATAGATTTCATAAAGATTCAGAAAAAAGCACAGGGGATCAATAGTGTTCCAAATAAATTCATCGCAGAAGATGTCACGGATTATAATGGGAGTTTCGGTTTGCTCTCTGCACTTCCCACCTGATCTTCTACCTTTGCCACGGGCTGGAAGATTTATCATGGCGCCCACAGAGCCTCCATCAATATTTCCATAAGTATCACCATCATGATGTTGCACAACAGCTCCAAAAAAAAAAGAAAGAAAAACAAAGAGCAACTAAAACAAGTTCAGCTTCTTCTACAGCTTACAAGTAGAATAGTTGTGTCGAGCCGAGGTCTCAAAGGAGACAGTTGGGGGGCTCTCGTGGCCTAGAGGTTAAGGTGTTGGCCTCTCATTCAAAGGTCCCGGGTTCGAATCCGGGTAGCGACCTAAGAGTTTTCTTCTCTAAAATTGTCTCCTTTCACCTTCTTTCCTGCTCTCTAGCAATGTTCTGTTGTCTGCTTTCGTCTCCACTTTCTGCCCCCGCCCCCTCACCTCCTTTGCCCCCTCCTCTGGGCTCCTGACTCTTTCTGCAGCCTTTCTTCTGCTACTCCTTGGCTCCTCCTTACTGCTGTCTTTCTGCCACACCTCTGATCTTCTGGTAGGAAAGATCTACACCTAGCCTTCTCGGACAAGGGCGAACAATCTCGGAGGGCCCTGTGCAAGTTGCGCACGTTAAAGATCCCTTGGTGGTCTAGAATCGATAAGAGTAGGCTTCGGCCGCCACCCGGGCAAAATTCAAAATTTCCTACCAACTGAAAATATTAGGTGTGTCCCACGCGCTCATATGACTTTATGCAGTTGTGAGCGCCGTAAAACACTTTACAAAACGGAGACAGTTGGTGCAGAGCTAGAAAACCACAACGCTGCACGTCTCGTTGTGACGTCTAGGGAGCGTGTGGTGAGAAAGGCAGGGGCTGGCAAGTGGTGTCCACGCTGTCGTCAGTGGAGCATTTCTTCTTGTCGACATTTTGAGCATTTCTCGTTGTCGACAATTTGAGAATTTCTTCTTGTCGACATTTTGAGCATTTCTCGTTGTCGACATTTTGAGCATTTCTTGTTTTCGACATTTTGAGCATTTCTTGTTGTCGACATGCTGGTCGCTGCAAACTGGGGCCTCCAAGCAGCGTACAGGTGGCCTTGGCGTCTGTGTAGCCCCCACTCTGCCGGTACGAGTAGGCAAAGAAACAATTAATTATAACGAAAAAGTGAGCTAAAAAAACGATGATCAAATATGCACCGAGTTCCAAATTTCGACTGCGGGCCAGCTTATAATTGACTGCCAAAAAGAGCAACCCACGTTCCTAACAGTCGACCTATGACAAGACATAATGTTTCAAAAATCGGTTTTGGTAATGAGCACACGGGGACAGAGTGGGGCGAGACAAAAGAGTTGTCTTTTGAGTCTGACAAACGAAGACATTCACCCTTTTTGATGGAGGCTCGATATTGTCACCATGATGACTCTGACATTTACATCTTGTTAATTCTGTGCTCAATGTTTACTCAAATAATTAGACTAGCGATTGTAATAGACTGCCAGCCCTGATGTTTGGTATAACAAAAAAATCTATATTATTATATATATGACTCAGATATTGTGTTGTTATCGATCCAGAAACAGATATTATAACAAGTAATACATTCTTGTTATACAATTGTAATGATATAATCGTCATCTAATTAAAATAGCTGTCAAAATGTTAGGGCGCAGTGCAGGAACACAAAGAAAGAACATTGTTAATTGATCTTTTTTTTGTCTTTGATTAAGCCCTGGTATCCTTTGTACTGAGTGTATAAATCAAGGTCTGTGCCTGAAATAGGGGAGGAGCCTAGCGCTGAAGTCACTGGCGTCGATGTCCCACACGTCTATCCCACCCAGAAGGTCGAGTTCACATTTTTGGGGAAACAACTCAACTTTCTCTCACGACCAGAAGATGAGCTTGCCAATGACAACATCACCACCTTCTGGCTCGCATTATGCAAATGTGATCAGCGACGAGGAGTGGTTCATTGTCCAAGTGGTCAAAGTGGTGGTCATCTCTGGTCTGCTCAGCCTGTTCGGCGTAGCCTCCAACATCGTGAACATTGTGGTGTTTGCCAAACAAGGCTTCCAGGACAGCACCAACATCAGCCTGCTGGGTGAGAGGGCAACTGTCACATCGACGCTACACTCACGTCACAAACAAACAAGTCTAGTGGGACTAGGACATCATTTGTCTATCAGCCGGTCCTAGCATAGAACAAAACACACACAAGTGAGGTAGATAGAACAAAACACACACAAGTGAGGTAGATAGAACAAAACACACACAAGTGAGATAGATAGAACAAAACACACACACACACACACACACACAAGTGAGGTAGATAGAACAAAACACACACAAGTGAGGTAGATAGAACAAAACACTCACAAGTGAGGTAGATAGAACAAAACACACACAAGTGAGGTAGATAGAACAAAACACCCACAAGTGGGGTAGATAGAACAAAACACACACACACACACACAAGTGAGGTAGATAGAACAAAACACACACAAGTGAGGTAGATAGAACAAAACACCACAAGTGAGGTAGATAGAACAAAACACACACAAGTGAGGTAGATAGAACAAAACACACACAAGTGGGGTAGATAGAACAAAACACACACACACACACAAGTGGGGTAGATAGAACAAAACGCACACAAGTGAGGTAGATAGAACAAAACACACACACACACAAGTGGGGTAGATAGAACAAAACACACACAAGTGAGGTAGATAGAACGAAACACACACAAGTGAGGCAGATGTTATTGACAGTGTTCAAATAGCACCCATCACATTTACAAATACATGCACCGTCAGCGAGCAGTGCGTTTGCTCTAAGCCCAGAAATCATTTATTTTTCAGGAGAGAGAAAACATTAAGTCCTCGCGATTTCCCCGGGTTATGAAGATATCCGAGAATTCAATAAGACTGGTTTGGAACATAGAATCTAATAACATGATGATGGGCGACTCGAATCGTGAATTTAAAACAAAACTTTTTTGGGAGATAAAATGTGCAAGACGCCAAAGACTATTGTACAGTAGGTAGGCTACTGAAAATTTCTTTTCCCTCTCTCGTGACTTTTTAAAAAGAAAAAATGGTTAAAAAACGCAAAAGGATTTGTTCAGGTGTACGAACCCCCCGCCCCGAAAAAAAATTATAAAAAAATCGAACAAACAATAAACAAACAAACAGACAAACAAACAGAAAAACAAACAGACAAACAGAGTCGTCGCACGGAAGTAGGCCTACTTTCCATCATTTCTCGATTTCTGACTTCGATTTCTCTCCGCGTCTCCTTACATAAAACATACGCTTGAATGAACTAATGAACAAAATATATATATTTAAAAAAAATTATAGTAGAGGGTTTTACGGCGCTCGCAACTGCATAAGGTCACATGAGCGCCAAGGGGTGGATGTCAACAGAGAAGTCTTTACAGGGAATCAGATTTACTCTGCTCACCTCTCTAGCTTCAACAGCACAAGATCTGCTTCGACTATCAAGGCACCCCGGAAATAGCAAGTCGCAAGAGTGTGACAAACATACAGAAGAAGTAGAGGAAAATGACAATAGTAAGGATTAGGAAAGAAAACAGCAGTTTCCTGTTGTAGATCAGGAACAGTTGTGAGCGGGACATGAATCAGCCCATTTACAATCCTACTGTGCTTGAACTAGAAATGTCCCCCGTTTGGGAATGGCCTAAAGACACTACAGTCAGTGGCACTGCCCCCCCCCCCCCCCCCCCCCGATAGATCTACCCCTAATATCCAAAAATCCAACAACAAGAAGAAATGTAATGGTAGAAACTTTACGCCCTCACCAACACAATTGTGATCATTTAGAAGGCGGCCGCTTCTGCGCTACCTGTCATTGCCAACCCAAACATTCAACAAAGCAAGACCACACAGTGGCTACCACAAGTTTGGGGATCAAATATCTCAAATCGGTAAAGAGAAAAGAACGTATTTACTCAAGTAGTGGTGGGTCCCCATACCTTACCAGGCGCGTCCCTGGGTGGTGGGCAGAGAACAGACCTTCAGATAGCCCGGGTGGTGGGCAGAGAGACCTTCAGATAGCCCGGGTGGTGGGTGGTGGGCAGAGAGGCCTTCAGATAGCCCGGGTGGTGGGCAGAGAGGCCTCCAGATAGCCTGGGTGGTGGGCAGAGAGACCTTCAGATAGCCTGGGTGGTGGGCAGAGAGGCCTTCAGATAGCCCGGGCGGTGGGCAGAGAGACCTTCAGATAGCCTGGGTGGTGGGCAGAGAGGCCTTCAGATAGCCCAGGTGGTGGGCAGAGAGACCTTCAGATAGCCTGGGTGGTGGGCAGAGAGACCTTCAGATAGCCTGGGTGGTGGGCAGAGAGGCCTTCAGATAGCCCGCGTGGTGGGCAGAGAGACCTTCAGATAGCCTGGATGGTGGGCAGAGAGACCTTCAGATAGCCTGGGTGGTGGGCAGAGAGGCCTTTAGATAGCCCGCGTGGTGGGCAGAGAGACCTTCAGATAGCCTGGGTGGTGGGCAGAGAGACATTTAGATAGCCCGCGTGGTGGGCAGAGAGACCTTCAGATAGCCTGGGTGGTGGGCAGAGAGGCCTTCAGATAGCCCAGGTGGTGGGCAGAGAGACCTTCAGATAGCCTGGGTGGTGGGCAGAGAGGCCTTCAGATAGCCCGCGTGGTGGGCAGAGAGACCTTCAGATAGCCTGGGTGGTGGGCAGAGAGACATTTAGATAGCCCGGGTGGTGGATAGGGGAGAGACCTTCACGGAGGTAAGCTGCTGAGCAGTCGCCCACCAAACGGGAGACGGTCGTGGAGAGTAGAGGAGAACCCTGGTGGCACAGATGCTTCAGAAAATACCTGACACGCACGAAGAAGGGACCATCTTGGCGGTGTCCAGTCCTGGCAACAAAACCCTTATATATTCTATAGATCTATGCCAGCGGTGAGATGCCAGACGGTATCCGTGATAAAGATAAAGGCCTGTAACACCACGTGCGACGGAATGTGAGATGCGTCAATACGCCTTATGAGTGAGTCATTTGACAAAAATCTTGCTGTGAGTAATAATGAGAGGAATGAGAAAAAGCCTAAGACCAGAGGTGGGGCAGGGGGGGATGGGGTGGGAGCATCTTGATTGTATATATTGCATTTTTCCATGTGTAAAATGTTCATCATTTCAGGGCTGGCCGTGTCTGACCTGTGCTCCCTTGTACCCACGATATGGATCAGCATCTGCCTGAACCCGTTCTTCTACCAGTCTGTGTTGCCCTTTGACCCTTGGACTATCACACACCTCACGGGGGCTGTGCCCCATATCATCTTTGTGAAAATCGCCACTTTCATCACCGCCTTCATCGCCTTCGAACGATGTCTGTGTATCGTTGTCCCTCTGAAGGTGAAGGCCATCATCACACCGGGAAGGACAAAGAGAATAGTCGTCTCCATCTACATAGTCATGTCTGCTTTGATGATCCCCTTCTGCCTCGGAAACAGACTTGAGTGGATTTTCGATCCCACCACGAATGCCACAGTGCTAACAGCCACGTTCACTGCCCAGAGAGAAATGTTAGAAGCCATTACGTTTCTCACCGAAGGCGTATTTGCTACAACGTTTTCCTTCGTCTTCGTCATCTGCTGTACCGTCGTTCTTGTCGTCAAACTCAACAGTAAAACAAAATGGCGACAGGCCACTGCAGCCAAGTCTGATTGGGCAGCGGGAGGCGTTGGGGTCAAAGATCAAAGGGTCGTGAAAATGGTCACCTTGATGGCTGTCATTTTCATCGTGTGCGCAATACCCACAACGCTTATGTTTCTCTACATGGTGATTGACCCAAGTTTCCGTATTGAAGGTGCCGATCGAAATGTTTTTCTTCTCCTTTGGTCTACATCCTACCTAACCGAAACGATCAACTCTAGTGTGAATATATTTGTATATCTGAACATGAGTTCGAAATATCGAGCAGTGTTTATGAAAACATTTTGGAACAAGAAGGAAAAATAACTTTCTGGATACTTAAGGAAAATGTCCTTTTATATGATCATTTCCAAGAAAAATGAATCATTACCTACAGAGGAAAATGTCTTTTTGATAATGGCTCAAAAAATCTCTGTAATTTTAAGATATGATAAGATAAACTAAATGTTTGTTATATGTATATGTATA